CAGAATCTGAACCCAGGTCCTCTTACCAATATGCTGCTATGCTAATTAGATAGTTTAAGGGACATTGAACCCCAGGTGGAAGCTTTTGGACTCAGTCAGGGCTGGAGGCAGGGGGAACCTCCTGCTTTGGAGCAGGAATCAGCATTCGTTCCAATTGTTAAACAAAGGTTTTAGATAGATAGACAGATAAATAGATAGATAGATAGATAGATGATGGATGGATGGATGGATGGATGAATAGATGGATGGATAGATAGATAAATGGATGGATGGATAGATAGATTGATGGATGGAGGGTTAGATAGATGGATGGATAGATAAATAGACAGATAAGTGGATAGATAGGTAGATAGAAAGGTAGATGAATAATTAAATGGATAGATGAATAGATGGACAGATGGATCATTGGATGGATAGGTAGATAGGTAGATGGATAGATTGATGAATAGATATATAGATAGATGAATGGATATATAGGTAGATAGACAGAGAGACAGACTAGACAGATGGATGAGAGGGAGAGACAGCAATAGACAGCAAATAAGCCATATGGCTAGGCAGATGACACACTTGGGGGACATTAGGAATGGGAGGTAGGTGGAAAGATAAATAAATAGTCACACAGCTTCATGCTTGAGGTGAAGAGCAAGGGGGATTAACTCCAATAGTCCTTATCAATCTGAGAAGGCTTCCTAGAGAGATTCTTACATTATATTTTGTCCTTCTTGCTAGGCTGGGGCAGGGTTGGGTGGGTGACAGTGGTGATCAGTAAAGAAAATGTCTGGGTGTCAGGCAAAGACAGCTCATTCCACTGTGCTTGTTCTGTTCCACCATCTATTTCCCACCTCCATGCCTTTGCACTATTTGTCCTTAGATCTGGAGTGCTTTGCCCCCCTTAGTTCTCCTCTGTGTTTCACCGGTTCCTTTCAAGGCTCAGCTCAAAGCCTGCCTTCTGCAAATGGCCCTTCCTATTTCTCTCTCCCCTACATCCCTCCCCAATCACTGATGTTGTCTCCTTTGAGATTACCTTCTATCCACTCTGCATCTACCTCACACATACACAATTGTTTATATGTCATCTCTCCCATTAAAATGTGTACTTCCTGAGGGCAGGGCCTCTCTTTTGCCTTTCTTTGTATGCCCCATGCTTAGCACAATGCCAAGCATACAGTAGGCACTTAATAAATGCTTGTTGACTGACTAATTGACTGAACTTCAAGAAGATTTTCCAATTGTGTTACATCTTCCCTTGTCAGCAGATACCACATAGAACTGAGAAAGGTGCATAAGATTTAGAGACTGATAACCTAGGTGAGAATCCTGTCTCTGCCACTTACTCTGTATGACCATGCCACTTTTAAATCTAGGATCTCAAGATATCACAGCCCCTTGGAAGCCCAGTCTCCTCAGGTGCCATGGGACCAGAATCCAGGACTGAGGACCAAGACGCACAGGACTCAGGTGAAATCAAAGTGTGAAATCTGACTTTCCTAACTTAAGAGGCCTGGTCAGAGCTAGGAAATTAGAAGTCCCAAAGGGAATAAGAATTCCCATTGCAAAGTACTTTAAGGTTTACAGAGCTCTTGGTTCACAACAACCCTTTGAAAGAGAATACAACATATAAATTCTGGGCTCACTACCCCAACCCTGTTCTAGATGAACGGTCCAGAGGACAGCTGGCTGCACCACTCCTGGAATTCTAAGAGTTACCCTGAGGCATTGTGGAACAGCTATACAGACAACTAGGTAGTCCAAGGAATCGATAGAGCACTGGGTCTGGAGGGAGGAAGGCCTGAGTTCAAATCTAGCCTCAGATACTTATTGGCTGTGTGACTCTGGGCAAGTCACTTAATCTCTGTCTGCCTCAGTTTTCTCATCTGTAAAATGGGGGATCATAATAGCGCCTATCTCCTGGCATTATGGTAAGGATAAAATGAGATTATATCTATAATGCACTTTGAAAACCTTAAAGCCCTGTATAAATGCTAGCTATCATCATCATTATTATTATAGTGGGTTGCTAGAATATAGAATATAATATATAATAATATATATTATAATGCTATAGTTATAATACTATAGCTCTTAAGCTCCCACCTGGTATATTTCCCAGTTACCATCTCCTCAATATCAAGTGACCAGTTGATTTCTCTTTAATTTAAGTGCAATGACCTGCCCAATAATCCTAATCATTGCTTGTGTTCCTACAAGCACTTTAAACTTTGCAAATAACTTTCTAGATTTCACTTGATCTTCACAGCAAGGCTGTGAAACAGGTGCTCTTACTATCCTCATTTTACAAAGAGTAAACTGAGTCTGATGAGGTAACTTGACTTGTCCAGGATCACACGGCTAGTAAGTGGCAGATGTGGTACCTTCCATTTGGCCAGGGTGACTGAACCAAAGAGAGAATGTGATCTGTCTCTTCAATTCTATTCTGAGGGCCCCCCCCCCCACGCAACCCAACTGTTCCACCTCAGAATCATCCTATTTGTAGATCTATGGAGAGTAACCGAGTGAGGGGAAAGGTGCAGGTCTCACAGAGGCCCCAGACACTGATGTAGGAGATGTGGCTCCCACTCTCAGGGAGCTCCTAGTTAGATGGGGAAAGAGAGACCCAGCACAGCAGAAGAAAGAGGTTTGCCAGGAAGCCCAGCTAAAAGGCTGCTCTAGGCTCTGAAGGCTGGGAGGGCAGATCTTTGCCCCCAGGAGCTGGTAGCAAGAAGCTTCCAAAGGCCTCCAAGAATGAAAAGGAGGACTGCCTGCCCCAAGCCTCAGACACCAAGACTAGGGAGTCAGAGGGAGAAGACTGAGGCCAAACCTCAGGCCATCATCCTTTCCTCAAACCCAGAGAGACTGGAAGGGGCCCAGGATCAGGAAAACATGAGATGAGGAAGGATTTCAGCAATGCCCAAGGGCCACCTCCTAGAAGGAGTTTTTCTACTTGCTTAAATATATATGTATATTATATGTATGTATGTATGTATGTATATAAATATACTTGTTTTTAGAAGTATATGCATTTGTTTTTTAAAAGTATATTTTTAAAATATATACTTGTTTTAAAATATCTACTTGTATTTAAATATATACGCTTGTTTTTAAATATATACTTGTTCAAAATATACTTTTTAAAAAATATATACTTGCTTTTAGGATATATACACATATACTTGTTTTAAAATATATATACTTGGTTTTTTTTTTTAAAAAAAAGCAATTTTCCTGATTCCCCCAATTATTAATATTCATTCTACTCAAATTGCTTTGTTTGTTCTATAAAACACCGAGCTGGGCACATAATACAGGCTTCATGAATGCTGTTGATTCATAGACTTTTAAATATTTTTTATTCAGATCTAGATCTGGAAGGGACCTCAGAAGACATCTACTCTAACTTCCTCATTTTACAATTGAGGACACTGAGGCAGGGATTTTCATAGGACCAAAGATCTGTAGCTAGAAGGCATCCTAGAGGCTATCTGGTCCAACCCCTCCTTTCATAGATGTGGAAACTGAGGCCCATGGAGATTAAGTGACTTGCTCAAGGTCATACAGGTAATACTCTTCGGAGGTGGTATTTGAGCCTCCAAAGACTGATCGAAAAGCTAGCATTTATATACTGCTTTAAGGTTTGCAGAACACTTTGCAAATATTTTCTCATTTGAGCATTGTAGAATGTGAACTCCTTGAGGGCAGGCACTACATAGTTTAATCTCTGACTCCCCAGTGCCCAGCACAGTGTAGGTATTTAGTTAATGCTCGTCAGTTGATTGATTTGTATAATTCAATATTTCCTTATCTGGATCCATATTGTACCCTCACCATAGAATGGAAGCTCAGTGAGGGCAGGGACTGTATGGTTTTTGTCTATCCTCTCCGGCCCTGGACAGTAGCACACAATAGGTACTGAATAAATGTTCTTGCAAGGGTGAATGGGAAGCGATTTGGGGAAATCCCCCAGGAGGATCTCTCCACTGTCACTGAGGGGCCACTGCAGGGTTTGGGGCCCTCCTTAGTCTGGGATGAGGGAGTGGTCTGACTCAGACAGCAAGCCTTCCTTGAACCCTCCTCCCTCCGAGTCCAGCAGAAGCAGGATCGTGGGCCAGAGGGGTGGTGCTCACATTCTCATGGCCTCATCCACAGCTGGTCCACCCAAGCCTCCGACATCATTCCTGGGCAGGGCCCCAGAATCAGGTGGGGCTGACCAGGAAGGCTATGGGGCGGGAGCGTTGGACGTGACACGAGCTTCCACCGTCCCAATCGTGCCCCAGGAGGACTAGTCCGGTCGAAATTATTATTTCTCTTCCTCCTTCTCCTAGCTATAAGATTTCACTGCTCTTTCCATATGTATTATCTCATCGATTCTCACAACAGCTCCGTGAGATAGGAGGGGGGCTTATTATCCCCATTTTACAGTTGGGGAAACTGAGGCTCAGAAAGGTTAGGTGATTTGGCCAGGCTCACACAGTAAGTTCTGAGGTCCGATTTGAACTCTTCCTTACTCCAGGTCCCGAGCTATGCAACCGAGCTATCTGCGCTTCCCAAGAAACCAAGGGGCTCTCCTGCACACTTAGGGTAGCCTCAGTGGGGTGGGAGGTGTGGCTGTGGTGTCCAAATCACAAGGTCAGCACCAAGCTTTCCCAAGCTACCTGTGTTCCCCGGACCGTTCACACACTCCCAAAACAGAATAGCAGAATTGGGGAAGGGGGTGGCAAGCAATGGAATTCCTCTCCTCCAAAGAATCTAGGAGCTGCTCTATGAATTGGGGGTAGGGGGCCCTGGGCTGAGCGTTTGAGCTTCGCTCTCCCCCGCCCACCCCTCCGCTCTGAGACTTGAGTCCGAGACCCCGCCCCTCCCACATCTGTGTCTGGGATTGCAATCTGAACCTAGGCGCTCACTCTCTCCCTTTCGCTCAGGGCGGGCAAGCAGGAGGGGAAGAGGGCCGGGCCAGGGTGTGTGGGGCCGAAGGGGTGGGGGGGACAGGAGTGGGAGGAAATAGTCCAGAAATCCCCAGACTTTGGGGATCGCCTGCCTGCCTGCCTGCTCCAAGGCACTGGAGAGGAGGGAAGGTGTGGACCCACCCTGGAGGAGGACTGAGCGATAGGCTGATAAAAACGAAGACTAGTCTGCTCCCTGACTTAGGCACAAGGGGCCTGGCTGGGACGAGGAACATCTGCATCCAGACGGTGGAACGAGGCAGCTTCGGTGATCGGGAGGTAACAGAGAGACCAGATAAATAGGGAGGTAAGTACCTAGCTAGAGGAAGAGAAAAAGCTTTCTTACCTGACTTTGGGGGTGGAGGATTAGGGACAGGCTGAGATACAGGGCACTTCGGTGTTGCCTCAAAGTCTAGACCCCTCTACACACCCGCACACTCCACCACAAATACACACACACACACAGTGGGTAACTTGAGGACCCTTGTCAGGACCTGAGAAATGGAACTCTAAAATTCCAATTTTCCCCAAGTCAAAAAGTCTCTGACTTTGAATGCTTGGGGTTCCCCATCTTAAGGGCCCAAGGCTAGGGGTGGAGGTTGACTATTCCAGGCTCTCCTGACTTCCAGCCCTCCCCGAATTGTTCCCCTCCTGTCTGCTCCCATCCATCCCCTCCCTGTGGAAGCTGGGAGGTCTGATGTGAGGGGGGGGATTCCTGAATGGGGCTAAGGGAGGATCCGCAGGCAATCTCTGTGTGGGGTCAGGACTGGGAGAAATTCTGTGCCTGTGGGAGAGCCCAGAAGTGTGTGCTTTGGGGAGTGGGGGTGGACAGGATGGGATAGGGTGGGGAGCCATGCCCTAACATGGCCAACAGAAAGGAGTAGGGGGGATCCCCTGGGAGAAGCTGAGGCCATGGGGGAAGGGTAGCCAAGGGGACTTCTGAGGGACCCCCAGAGAAGTAAATTGGGTCTGTGGAATGTAAGGAGGAGGGGAAGGGGGAAGAGGGCGGTGAGTAAGTTCCTGAAGTTGGAGTAAATGTATGTTTACATCTCTGGTTCATAGATCATGAAACTGTAGATTTAGAACCTCAGAAAGTTATTTAGTTTAACCCCCTGATTTTATAGAGGTCAGTCAACAAGCATTTAACTGTGACCGGCACTGTGCTAAATGCTGGGGACACAAAGAAAGGCAAAAAACAGGTGAGGAATGTGAGTTTCAAAGAGCTTAATAAATGAGTGAATATAATATATTAACATTATATAATAATAATGTATCATTATATAATAATAAGTGAAGATAAAACCAGGATCTGAACCCTGCTCTTGTGACTCCATAGCCAGCCAATGGTATTTCTCCCGTTGTTTTATGTTTATCTCTAGTTGTCTCTGCTTCTGTCAGTGGGTATCTCCATTGGACGTGTATCTCTGTCTTTCAGTCTGTGCCGGGGTAGGTTTCTTTGGTCTGGACAAGCTATCTGGTGGGGAAAGGGGAGTAGCTATTGCTCAGGGCATCCCAAGAGTCTTAGGGCACAATAAGCTTAAAACTGCACTAAGACTTTTGGGACATCCTGGATCAAAATATAAGTACTTTTGGTGCATGGGAATTTTTCGGGGAAAGATGTAGGCTCCCCAGTTGAAGCAGGTTTGAGAGGAAGATGGGGGTAGGAGCTTCTGCGGGACAATACTGAAATTTTAAGTGAATTTTTTATGCCTGTCAACGTTTGAGTGTCTGTATGGCTGACGGTCAGGGTCCCATACATGGGTACTTGAGAGTGAGAAAACTCACAGGTCATTTGGAGTGTCTAGATGGCAACCAACTGACAAGCATTTATTGAGTGCCTATGAGATACCAGCCTGGAACTGTGCTAGGCTCTGAGAACCCAGCCAAGAACAAAACAGCCCTTGCCCTCAAGGTGCTTACTTTGTATGGGAGCAATAACGGCCGGTCACGTCAGTGGATATAAACACAGACAAGTACCAAGCAGGACATGTCAGGTGTGTGTCTCTGGGTCGGGCTCAGTTTTCTCTGCTTCAGCACCTCCATAGGTGTCCCTAGTACTGGGCCCCCAGATGTGAGGGCAGTGAGCTCTTTGAAGACTAGGATCCACCCAGCCTTGTGCCTCCTCCCTAAGCAGCTCCTGAGCTGGGGTTGGACTGTGTGGCCTCTGAGAATTTGTGACTCCTATCCAGCCTCCTGAAACCAGCCTGGAGAATATAAACGAGGATGAAGGACGGTTTTTCCATTGTCTTTGCATTCCCAGGGCTTGGCTTAGTACTTTTGCACACAGTAGGTACTTTAAAAATGATGATTCAATTTTACCCTTCTACTTAGGTTGTCTCTCTAAGCTCTTAATTTGGGATTCAGAACACCTCCCCTAAGGTCTCACCCAGCTCTGAAAGATCTCCAAGCACCTTTTCTTCCTCCTCTCCTGGACCTCCTCCTTTCTCAAGGGCTGAGATTATTCTGACTTTTCCTATGGAGCTGTTCCATCGTTTTTTCACTCCTGTCCAGCTCTTCATGACCTCATTTGGGCCTTTCTTGGCAGAGAAACTGGAGTGGTTTGTCTGAAACTAGAATGGAGAGAATTAGTCCTGCTCTCAGGAAGCCTCCAGTCTGATGGGGCAAATATCAAGACTCATAAAGCTCTAGACAAATTGGTGCCCTCAATACTCAAATGGATCCTTGTACAATCTGCTCATACTGCCCGACTCCATCCATGACCTTACATTGGTTCACCCGTAAGCTCTGTGAAGAATTTAGGGGCACATAAATACACAGGTCTGTAACACCTGCTAGCTATGCAATCCTAGGCTGGTCACTTAACTTCTCAGACCCGCCCCCCTCATCTAGTGGCAGACCAATTGCTGAGCTGTATTGGTAGAGACACTTTACTCAAAAGTTCCCTACACAATGAAATCACTGGTCTAATATCCCTTCCAAAAACTTCATGTAGGGAGGATGGCCTAGTGCAGGTGTATGGAAGAAAAGATGTGGATTCAGATAAACATTATTTAACTTATGTTATATGAGCCCAACATAAAGATGAGATAACATGCCTTTATGAAATTTTTGGTCTTATAGGGAGATAATGTGATTATATGTATGTATATATGCTTATATATAAATATATTGATATAATTATTATATATTATCATATATAATTTTAATTTTTGTTATATTCTACTTATTACATATATATCTTGTGCTCACGCCCACACACACAGCATACCCTAATTGATATGGAGAGCTGGCCTCAGAGTCAAGACAATATGGGTTCAAGTCTCCCCCTGCATTGGTATGAGATTTCCTCATCTGGGAATGAAATTTTCAGATTTGGTCAGATATTTAGATAGAGATGATAGAGATAGAGGCAGAGACAGAGAGATAGGGATAGATTCTTGTATATATCTTTGGACGGAATTAGAGAGAGAGAGAGAGAGAGAGAGACTGATTCATGTATATGTGTATATGTCTTTGGATGGATGGATGGATAATCTAGCCTGCATCTGGGATTTCATTAGTATAATAAACACCCAATGAGGAAAACCTTTCCACTAATGAAGAGAGGAAACACCCAATTTATGGGCAATTTATAGTCTTAGGGGGTTGCTTGGGGCATGGAGAAGCTGTGAGTGGCCAAGGCTGAAAAGGTGGATCTTGAACCCAAGTCTAGCTTTCTAGCCCTTATGCCATGATATTTTAATAACAACTATTCAGTTTAATTTAGTAAACATTGATTGAACACTTACTATGTGCACTCAAGGAAGTTACATTCTACTGAGTGGAGAGTGATAATAGCCGACATTTTATAGAGCCAAATTGCCTTACATCCATTAATCCATTTGAATTAATACACAATAACTCTATGAGGTAGGTACTATTATTTCTTATTTTTACAGATGAAGAAACTGAGGCTCAGAAGGGTTGAGTGATTTGCCCAAAGTCAGACAGCTAGGAAGTATCTGTTGCAGATTTCAAATCCAGGGACTCCTCACTGTAAGACGCACAGACACAAATATCTTAATAAACACCATTGTTGGCATTAGAGATTCAACAAAACGCTATGTGAAGTCACACAATCCTCGAGCTAGAAGGGGGCCCCAGGGATCATCTAATCCAAGCCTCTTATTTTACAAATGAGGAAACTGAGGCTCATGGAGCTTGAATGACTTGCCTGTTTATTTCACACGAGACAAAGAGGGGAGGGGCTGCCTTGAACCATCCATGCCTCCTCCCCGGGCCTGTTATGACCAGCGTGTATGGGAAGGTTGGTAAGATCATGGCTCCAGAGCTGGAAAAGGTTCTTAGAGATCCATCAAGTCCAGCCTTTTCATTTTATAGATGGGGAAACTGAGTCCTAGGGAGATGAACCCGTGAGGCCTCAGCTCCTTTTTGGGCCAAGTTTAGCAGTCAATCTGTGTGAACGGGGTCAACAGCTACCTAGCCCAACTCATACTCAAAAGGAACCTCCTTCATAACATTCTCGACTAGTGGTCTTAATGACCATTATTATATTCCCACTGAATCCCCACTTCTCCAGAGCGAGTGTGGCTAGTTAGGGGTTGGTCTGGGAGGAGGGATGAAGGGTCGGTTGGTGGTCAGCCTATGGCAAGAAATAAGGGCCAGTCTATGGTCCAGATTAAGGGTCAACCTGTGGCAGGGATGAAAGGTCAGTCTGTGATCAAGGTTAGGGGGCATTCTACAGGAAGGGTCAGGGGTCAGTCTAAGGTTGTAGTTTGAGTCGGGCTTTGACCAAGTTTAGGAATTAGGGTGTTGGACTAAAAGGGGATAAAAGTCAACCTGTGTCCAATGTTTAGGCTCTGTCTATGGCAATGGTAAAGCTTAGGAGCTGTCTGTTTCTGAAGAACAATGTAGCCTCTGTATAAATCTAACTGGCTTACATGGCCATGGAACACCTGACCTTGCCCTCATTAACACGTTTAGAACTAGCAATGTCCGGGCCTAGTTTGCAAGGGGTGGGGGTGGGGTTCTATGAAGGGGCGTTTCCCTCTAAACTTTCCTCCCCAGGACAAAGCCCTAGTCACCACGTCCTCCGTCCAGCTGTGCTCATTACCGCCTCACCTTCCCCATGAAACTAATAGGTCTCTAGGGATTGATGCCCAGCCCCTAAGCTTCCTACGTCTGGACTTAGCCCTGGAAATTTTTCTCATTTATCTATAAATTTTTCCATACAGAAATGTGGGGTGTAGACTACTTTCTCCCATTTCTGGTTTGAATAAAATCTGAGTGGTGCCTTGGATCCATGTTATTTTTCAGCCCATACTTGTATTTCAGTTTTCCTTTAAGAGAGGTTTTATTTGAAGTATATGGCCTAACTGCACACTAATATGGCATGATCTGCATGTGTGCTCGTGGACATGTGTGCCAGGAAATCACCCAGGACGTCTTCAACCTGAAAGTTCCTGGCAGTCAACCTTCAATCTTCCACTCTCCTCACCCAAGGGAATGAGCCATTTTCTCCTCTTCACCTTAAAGCCCGGGCCCCCACTCTCCTTCCAGACTCCGGTCAGAGAGAACGCACAACTGGACAACCTGAGTGACCACAGCTCAGCCACTGGCTCCAGCTTGGCAGGACCTAACGGCGACAAGGTGGCTAGGCTCTCCTAGACCCAACCTATCCCACTGGGCCTGGTTCTGGACGATGTTTCTTTCTTTGCCAACTGAGCTCCAGGTGAAATCAGCTCATTCCAGCTCAGCAAGAAGTCAAAACTCCAAATCAGCATCCCACCTCTCTGAAATCCACAGACAGAGCCTACGGGATTCCTCCCTCCAAGGCGGCTCAGCCTCAGGCCCCCCCCCCCCACAGCTCAACCTTCCCCTCTGTCCCCCAAAGAGGGATTACCTTGTCCGTCAGGGCAGAACCAGAGTAATGCGTGAAAACTGAAAAAAGCATTTAGGCTTGATGAAGGGATGCCTTCCTAAGCAGCAGAGCTATCTGACAGTGAAAAGGACAGCCTCAACAGAAGGTGGGGTCCCTCCCACCGGAGGTCAAGGAGAGGCTTGGCTTGGTGACCTCTGAAGTCCCTTCACTGTGGGTCCATGTACGCATCTGGACACGTCTTTACGTGTGTGTGTTTATGTGTCTGCGCTTATGGGGTGTGGGTCAGTGTCTGTGTGCCTGGTGGTGAGCTCCCAACCGGGGGGAAAGCCAGATCCTTAAGACAGTTGAGTGTCTGAACACAGCCCCTTCCTGGGCGTGCTGAATAAGCAGCTCACAGCCCACGTCCTACTGGAGGGAGGTGGAGGGCGTCATCTGTGTTTTTAAAAGTTAAATCAGATCATTGAATGAAGATTGAGGGCTGGGAAGAAAGCTCTAAGAAAGGTGCCAGGAGGTAACTGGGTGGTTGGTCAAGGTGCCTGACTTAACATCCTTGCCTCTTTCTTATCCACAGCCTTCTAGGGGATGCTAAGATGCTGGCCGTGCCAGAGTCTCGGATGCACAGTCTGCAAATAAGTAAGACCCAATATCCCCATTCTTTTTTCCTACAACTCTGCCCTACCTCCCTCCCTTCTTCCCCCACTTTAAATGAGTTCCTCCCAGTTCCTTCTTCTCCTTCCTCCTCTCTTCTCCCCAGACCTACACTGAAACTGTACCCACCACTAGCCCAGCCCCCAAGTGCTGGAACACACCACACACACACACACACACACACATACCCTGCAAAGACAGTATTCACAAAGAGGCTGAAGACCCCGTCCAGGTTCTGTCTGTGTACACATAGGCCCCCACATAGACACAAGAGTACAAAACAATTCAATTCAATCCAACCAACAATTATTAAATGCCTACAGTGTACAAAACATTCTGCAAAATGCACAGAGGAGCAGCCAGTTGTGAGATTGGGCATAGATGTTAAATGTGTATGTGCAAGTGTGGTTTGTTTCATTTTGTTTTGTGGGGGTGGGAGTGTAATACATGCTGTTGGAATGTCTGTACAAATGGATATTCCTGAATGCATAGACAAGTGGGTGCCAGGTGTGGGTATGAGAAAGTGAACAAGTGTGTTCATGAGTTTGTATACACAAATATGGGTGTGTATGAGCATGTATGTGGTGTGTGAATGTGTATGTATGGGGGTGGTATTCAGATGGTTGCCAGGAAGCCGAGGGAGACCGATTAACATTTATTAAGCACAAACTATTTGCCACATATGCAGTGTGTGTGTGTGTGTGTGTGTGTGTGTGTGTGTGTGTGTGTGTGTG